AAAATTAAATAAAATTTGGTTTTTTTTTTATTTTTTGTTTGATTTGCAAAATCGGGCGTTACTTTTGGTGCCTACTGACGTACATTTTTTACAATGATGAAACTCACGTATAATATTTTTATTGTTTATCTAAATCAAAAATTATTTTACATAAATAGGTTATAAACAAGAAAAATATAATTACTACGATGTTTATTTTTTATCTTTGGCTCAAGCATGAGGGGATAAATTTTAAACAAACACCCTAATATTTTTTATTTTTTTTCCCGAGGTGTTAACCTAAAAATCAACTTTAAACGGCCCAATTAATAAATAAATAGTTATGTATATACCGATACAGTATATATTGATTAATTTAGCGATTCTATTAAGAAAATGAATGTTCAAAAAATTATCTATCTTTAAAAATAAATAATTAAACCCATATAAAATAAAATAGCATTATACTTGGAATTAAATTCATGCATTTCCTAATTTTGCCTCCACTTTCCGCTTTTCTGCAGTTCCTATTGGCGCAGAGGCGAAGTGGAGGCAAAATTGGTAAATACAAAATGCCAAATAGTGTTTTCTAATCAGGGAAAATATGACGATCAGTCAGGTTTAAAACGCGAAAAGCGAACCTTGGGGTAAAAATTACGAGAAACATAAGATATTATTCGGTCCGGGCAATATGAAATCGGTGGAAAAATTCGAAAAGGTAGTAACATATGTATGGCAAATCGATGAATCAATATTTTTGTTAGTAACAGTTCTGTATTTTTTTTTACTGCTTGATATTGAAATTTTTTCCTAATTCGCAATACAGTCAAACCCCCTAAAAGCATCCTTAAACTATGCCCAAATACTGTATATATAAGTTATATATACAGTATATACCCATAAATGATAGTTTTTCTTATCAAGTGCATATTTGTCTCATTTAGAGATGGATATATCTACAATCTTCATGAATATTTGTAATATCATGATCATATTTGCTACATTATATATTCGCCATAATCTGCACAAGACATTGTGTGTAGAACTTAATTCTCACCTACCATAAATATTTATAATAACTGATAACTAAAAAGATCATACTTAATAACAAATGTATACGAATATATTTATACTGTCATATTCAAATAGTAACCAACAAAATCTTCTGTGCAAATACTCATAATATTTAAAATAAAAATGAAAAATAAAAAAAGAAATAAGCAAATTAATACATTTTGGAGGTGTTGGTTCAAATTAAGCGATTGGAATTCTGCAATAATATAGTATTGAAATTACTGAAATTACTGAAACTAGCAATGCATCGAAATGTTTATATAGACATTTATGATTAAGGTTGGAAATAAAATAAGTTCGTGGCATATCGTCCATTATAATAATCAATCAAATAAAAATATTCATACCTAAATATAGGATAAGGTATGGCTAATTGTGCCCTCCAATTGAAAAGAATTCTTTGGGACATTCGGATAAATCGAACTTAACACAGGCACCCACCACAAATGGTCACTCGGCCACACAGCGTACACCTGCCATTGTTGGAGCGTTTCCCAAAGATGAAACCTTCGAATCTCATAATATTGGCAAGTCCTTCAAAGATGATGATGATCCCGCCAAATTACGACGACAATTGATTGAAGCTAAAGAAGAGATTGATCGCCTAAATCACATTGTTGAAAACTACAAGCAAGAGTTGAATACAGCTCAGATGAGACAACGTAAAAGTGAGGAGGCTGCTTCAGCGAACAGGCATAGTGTGTCCGCCATTGGTGGTTACTCAGTCAAGACTCAAGAAAAAATTCCTGAAGGTTATT